GTTTGGGGTTTAGGGTTTAGGTCCTTCTCAAGGCCATAGACCAAGAAATCATAATAGGGAGCCCTATAAAGGAAGGTTTTATAGGGGTTAAAGTAAGCCTTAAACCCTAAAAGCCCAAGTCAAAGGCCCTAGCAGTTCGAGACAAGAGCCCGCAGCCGGGGCTTTATTATTATAGGCCTGAAGTGCTTTGGGGTTTTGGGGTTCAGGGTTTAGGACTCAAGGTCTAGGAATCAGGGCGTAGGATTGAGGACTTCGGGCTTGGGGTTTCGGGTTTCGGGTTTGGGGTTTCGGGTTTTTCGGGTTTTTCGGGTCTAGGGTTTCGGGTTTCGAGGGTTTCGGGTTTAGGGTTTGGGCTTCGGATTGGGGGTTTAGAGCCTGGCCCCTCCTCGGCTTCGGCGCGTGTTCAGGAGAAGCGAAAGGCCAAGCTCCTTGGCAGGGTCTGTCTTATGAAAAGCCCTAAACCCTAAACCCTTTTGGGCGGAGGATGTGGGGGCAGAAGTTTGCAGCATTTTGAATGGTTCCTGGACCTGAAGGCAGAGACTCGAAACCCGGCAAACTCCGCAGTGCTAGAACCTGACCTCCGGGTCCAGGACGTGGAGGAGCCTCGAAGTATGTAACATCTCCTTCAGTGTCTGGTGTTCTCACATCCTTGATAGCGGTGATTGCTGTTCGTAGCTTCGTTGGTTTCAATGCTATCGTCATTGTTGTTCTCGTTCTTTACGGTTTTGGAGGTGACAGGGACTGCCGGGGCTGGTTGTTTCAATGTGGTTGTGTGTAGATGACAAGCTGGTCCCCGTGATGCTAAGCGACTGTGCAGTTTGCGTGTATCGCGTGCGTCTGATGAGCATGGAACAGCTTCCGTGTCCGGTCTACAACTCTCCGCTTCGATTCTTCGATGCTCCTTCCATCATCATGTGTGCCTAAAAAAGGGGCCTTAAAAAGTAGAATAGGGTTTTCGGGCCCACTATACTATAATTATAATAAGGAACCCCCCAAAATAGTATTAGTACTTATTTAGGCCCCTACATTACACATGCAGAAGAGAACCTGCACCCAGGTGTTGAAAGGACAGAAAGGGGAGCCTCACTTGTCAATGGACGGATCCTTATAAACCCCAAAACCCCTAGACCCCTAAACCCTAAACCATAATAGAGGACTTGAGTCGCGGGGTCTCGCGCTTTGCCCCGTAAAGGATGGTGATGTTGCAGAGAGCACCACCCAACAGAAAGGATTTTATCTCCTCGAGATCCCAAGCCCAAAGCCCTCAACCTGTTCAAAGCGTTTGGGGTTGAGCCTAAACCCTAAACCCTAAACTTAGGATGTAGGGACCCTTAATTGTGAAAACGTTTGGGGTTGAGAGCTCGGGTTTCGGGTTTAAGAACGCCTCGAGGTCGGCCCTCAGGAAGCAGCCCGCCGCACAGGCAGGGGGTTTCAGTTTTTTTTTTTTTTT